TATCAAACCGTAGATTACTATAGTCATTGACTACTGGGTCTCATGTTCCTAATCTATTCCACTGATCCAACATTCTATTTCTTAGCCAGTACCAAGCAGTTTTGATGATTGCTGCTTTATAATACAGTTTTAGATCTGGTGTGGCTACCATCTTCCCTTACTTTTCTTTTCATTTATTCCCTTGATATTCTTGACCTTTTGCTCTTCCAGATGAATTTTGTTATTATTTTTTTCTGGCTCTATAAAATAGTTTTTGGTAGTTTGATTGGTATGGCTTGGAATTGTAAATTAATTTAGGTAGAATTGTCAATTTTGTCTATTTTCAATGGACAGTTATTTTATCTCCCTCCCATCCCTCCTACTGATGTAAAAAAAAAAAAGATAAAAGCAATCCTCTTATAGATAAGCATAGTCAGATTAAAAAAATGGCTAATCTTGCATCTTGTAACTGTCACTTCTCTGTCAAGAGATGGGTAGAATCTTTCATCGTTTGATCCTTTGAAGACATGGCTGGCCATTGAAATGATCAGAATTCTTAAGTCTTTTTGTCGTGTGACAGTGTTGTTATTACATACATTGTTTGGCTGCATCTGTATCAGTTCATTCATACAAATCTTCCCAGGTTTCTCTGAGAACATCCTTTTAATTATCATTTCTTACAGCACTATAGTTTCCCTTTACACTTATGTACCATAATTTGTTCAGCAGTTCTCCGTTAAGCTGTTCCCCCAAGTTTTCAGTTAAATTGATTCTTGAACCCTTTTTTTGAGGGGTAGGTTGGGGAGGCAGAATCTATTTGGAGGCGGTATGGTATGACTGAGGGAGCACTGGGTTTGGAGTCAGAAGATTAAACAATTAATGTGCATTTATTTAGTGTCTGCTATTGGGTCTGTTTCTATTGCTATTGCTGTTTCTTTATTGATGGACCTATTATCACAGTATTAATGAATGACCAACCATGACAGTGAGGATCAGCATAATGACAAGAGACACCCTTTTAATATACCTAGGGAAGTTAGGTGATGAAGTGGATAAAGCCCTGGGCCTGGAGTCAGGAAGATTAGACTTCAAATACAGATTTAGATTAGCTAGGTTGTCCTGGGCAAGTCATTTAACCTCTCCTGCCTCAGTTTCCTCATCTGTAAAATGGGGGCAATAACACCTACTTCCCAGGGTTGTTATGACATAATATTTGTAAAGTGCTTTGCAAACCCTAAAGCGTTATATAAATGTTAGCTATTACCATTATTACACTATTAAAAATAATTCTGCTTAAGCAAGCAGTTCTTTTCTGGATGAAACAATAGAGTATTATGGCATAACAATGGCATTGGGGATGAGAGAATTATCTACTTATCAGTTTTTTGAGTTATTCTGAAAGAGGGTGGCCCTCGATCCCACCAAATATGAATCACTTTGGATTGAAGTCTAATAAAATTCACAGCATGGTGGGATGACTTGTTATGGAATTTTATTCAGTGTCCCAGTAGATTGTTAATAAGCAATACAAAGACTTGGAAAGACAATTAAGAACTTAGTCACATGCAGTTATGATTTAAGAGTTTTCGTGTATTGACAGTGAGGTCTTGTTTCTGTAGGCACAATTTATCTCTGTCCTTGAAATGTTGCATTCTAATTCAGGATCAGGAAATCCCTAGTAGTCTTGTGTTCCCTCTGGAAAAGTATACAGTGATTTCCCAAATCTAAATCTCAATCAAATATAGGAGGGAGAGGGAATTCCATGTAATATGAATGGCATGTCCAGAATGGGACTAGGGAGGGCAGAAAAGGGTTATAATGAGGGATATTGCCAGAGCCCCAGGCACAGTGTTCTGAAGACCAGATTATCTAACAAGGCAGGATATGGGGATGGATTTGCAAGAGGCTTCCCCCAACGCCTGATGCGCTGTTACATCAAACTCTCCCTGGGACGTAGGTCAGGCTTTTCTATATCACAATGGAAGCTCAGATGTTTTATACGGAGGAATAAGCCCTCTGACTTATTGGTTTACCAGCTCTGGTGTCATAGGCAGGGAAATGTTTGTCATCTAAGCTGGAAATGTCTGCCCTGAAGGTTCTAGGCATAGAAGACACCAGATATGGGAGATTCCAGAGAAGGGGCAGAGTAAGAAGGGAGTGGGTACTGGGCAGGTGGAGATGGCATGGTCAAATCACAGATGGCCTGTAAATCAAGGGTCCTTAAGCTGTTTTTGTGTGATGGTTCTTTTGGCAGTCTGGGTAAGTCACTTACTCAGCTTGTCTCAGTTTCCTCTTCTGTAAAATGGAGACAACATCAGAACCTACCTTCCAAGTGCTCTAAAAGTAGCGTTTTAAAATGCATACAATAGAATTCTTAGTATTAAAAAAGAAGCCAAATATATTGAAATGCAGTTATTAAAGTATTTTTTTTTAATAAGCTCACAGACCTCAAGTAAGAGAATTGAACATAGTTGCAATTCAGGACTGAAATCGTTTAGCTCTCTGTTTTGTCTTTTGTATTTGATTAGTTTTATTTAAGAAGAACTTGGGAAATGATGCAGCTGTTTGTTAGCAGCAGTTGACTTGGGCACAGAAAGGCTTGGGGTGGGGAGGAAGTTAATCCTTAGAGGTTTGGCTGCACGCCAAGGCTCTGTTCAGAAATGTATTTTAAAAAATCTCCAGTGCTTCCTCCAACTTTGGAGGAACACTTCTTTAAATTATCTGTTCCCACTATTGTTTCCCTGGCACCTCACCAACATCCTCCTGAATGATTAAATAAAGCTTCTCAATGTTTTCCCTCCTCCATGTTCAGAGGCCTCTACCCCAGTGTAACCCTGAGTTCAGATGTGGCCTCAGACACGTACTAGCTGTGTGACCTTGGGCAGGTCACTTAACTCTGCTTGCCTCAATTTCCTCATCTGCAAAATGAGCTAGAGAAGGAAATAGCAAACCACTCTAGTATCTTTGCTAAGAAAACCCCATGGACTGTATGGTCCACAGGGCTCATGAATAGTTGGACACAACTGAACAATATGTACATGTGTATGTGTGTGTGTACACGTACACCAATATATTCACATTTGAATAGGCATCTCATCCTGTCAGGAGTCAGGAAGAATTGAGTTCAAGTGGGGCCTTGGATGCTTACTAGCTGTGTGACCCTGGGCAAGTCACTTAACCTTTGTTGGCCTCAGGTTCATCTGTAAAATGGGCATGATAATTGTAGCGCTCACTTCACAGAGTTGTCGCGGGGGTCAAAATGAGATAAGATTTGTAAAAAGCATTTAGTTCAGTGCTTGGGACATTGTAGATGCTGTATAAATGCTTATTTCTTTCCCTTCCCATTTTCAAAGCCAGTGCTGTAAAGAAGATACAGTGGTAACTAGAATCAGAAAGACTCGGGTTCCAATCCTGTTTGTGACACGAATTCTAACACCTTTGGCAAGTCACAGCCTCCTCTGAGCCCTAAGGTTTAGCTTAAGTAGTGAATCTGATGATAAAAACCACCTATTGAACGGGCCTTAATTTTTCCTCCCCAGGAAAGGAGTCACGTTTCACATCCACATTTTCTGCCTCTTATCAAGTGGTTCTAGGATAAGCCTTCATTCAAGCAGCAAGGATTGCAACGTGTTTTTTAGAATTGCTCGGGCCTATCACTGCATCTGGTCCAGGCACATATGGTCAGACTGAGCGAGTGTTCACAGCCGACTTGCAGGGTGAAGAGAATCCCCAGAGGGCCAGTTTCATTCTGTGGAGGTTTAACTCCAAGCACTTTATGTAATTAAGCCAGTCATCAGCACTATTAATATAAAAACTGTTTGCTGGTACTGAATTAGGTTTACAATCTATGCCAGGAAATCGGACTCTTCAAACGCCATTTCTTGTACTAATGATCTTAATCAGGACCTGCAGCTCTTGCTTAACTAATCAGATTAGGGAGTGGGAGGAAAGCGTGAACAATGCCAAACTAATCTTTCTAAACCCATTACCTCTTACTGCCCACCCCCACCCCATCCCCACTTTGATCATTAGCAACCCTTTGATCTTTAGCTGGTACGCTGGTAAAGTTCATAGCTGGTAGGTTTGTAAAGCCCCCAGTGGTGAGCCCTAGGAGCAGAAGGGTCTCCAGTCTGCCTAAGAATAGAGGAAAACAGGCAAGGGTCAGAAAGGGAGCAGGTGGAAACTTTGATCAGCAGTGAGATTGGACCCCTGAGTGACCACTGCATTTCTAGACTGGGTGAAATAGAGAGACCCAGTTTCCAAGTATGTGTGTGAATACATGCCTCTATACAAGTATGTATGTCTGTATGTATCTAAGACACACATGTGAAATCACAAATGTCACATATATATGTATCCATGACATACTTCATACATATATACATATGCTTCACTAATGTATACATGTATTATATTGTGTATGTATTTCTATCTAAATATATATTTATACCTATCTATATATATCTATATTTACCTATTTATAGCATATAGCATATTTATGTATGTGTATATGTATATGTATAGAGGCAAGTAGATGTATGTATATGTATATGTATGTATATGTATATGTTTGTGTACGTAGGGAAAGGGAGAGAGAAAGACCGAGAGACAGAGAGACAGAGAGGGAGAGATGAGTGTCACAAACATCTAAGGATCTTGGATTTTGAAATCAAAGCTCTTCAAAGGCTATCTAATCCAAACCCCTTCATTCTGCAGAGAAAATTGAGGCCCAGAGAGGTCAAAGGATTACCTTAGGACATAGGGATGACTCAGGGACACCTCTGAAATTTGAACCCAGGACCTCTGACTCCAAAGCTATTCAGTGTTTCCACCAGATAGAAGGGAAACGTATTGAGGCAAGAAAGTTAGTTATTTATTAAGAGTGTACTTCATATTTATCCTGGGGCTTTTAACCAAAAGGGCTTTACTGGGGGATTATGATGTGCCCTTAGATCTCTAGGCACTATCAAACTCAAATATGGCCTATGATGTCATTAAATATTTCCTCCATCTTTACGCAGATTTTGTGTCTGATTGGTCTCCCATGCATGATGCTGCTGTTAATGGACGTCTCCTTTCTCTAAGGATGCTCATCAGTCAGGTAGCTTCTAACCTAATATTATTGATATTCTCTAAATTAATGTCTTATTATTAAGGTTAAAATTAGTTTTTCATATTAGTAATATCTATTGATTATTAAAACAGCACATATAATTACTATATGTTAATTGATACAATTAATATAAATAATGAATACAGTTGTCAGTTTCAGGCCCTCGCTCCTAGATCACATTTGATGTTTCCTGCAGAATGGGGATAGTAATATCCCTTCCCACCCTTTCTTGACTTAGAGGAATGCTAGGACAGTTAATCAGTACAGGTATATCTTGCTTTATGTAAGAGGGAAATCGATAATAATTGGCATTCATAGAGTACTTTCAGGATTTGCAAAAACATTTTACACATATCTCATCTAGTCCTCACAATCCTGGGAGATTAGTGTTACAACACTTATCATCCCTGTTTTATGTATAATAGAGGAATAGAACCTGAGAGAAATTATGTAACTTAAGATCTTAAGATCAGTTGGACAAGTATTTATCAAGGTTTTAGGGGATTTGTGCTGAGTAGCTAGGTGATACAGTGGATAATGTACTGGGCTGGAAATTGGAAAGACTTGTTTTCATGAGTTCAAATTTGGCTTCAGACACTTACTAGCTGTGTGACCCTGGGCAAGTTGTTTAACCCCATTTGCCTCAGTTTCTTCATCTGTAAAATGAGATGGAGAAGGAAACAGCAAACCACTGAAGTGTCTTTGCCAAGAAAACCTCAAATGGGGTCCCAAGTAGTCAGAGAAACTGAGCAAAAACAAGAAGGATGAATTGAAGATAATCAATGGAACAGAGGCACTAGCATTAAAGATGATTAGAAAGAAGGCCAACTTTTAGCTGAGACTAGAAGGAAGCCCAGGCTTCCACGAGAGAGTGAGGAGAGAGATTTCCAGGCATGGGGGACAGCGAGTGAAAATGCTTGGAACTGGGAGATGGTGTATCATATTGAAGAAGAGGTGAGTAGGGAGTATATTCCAGGCATGGAGGCATAGATAGGGCAAAGTCACAGAGCCTGGAGATGGAGTGCTGTGTGTGCAGAAAAGAGACAAGGCCAGTCTGGTTGGAAGGCAGAGTGTGGGGGAGGAGGAGTACTGTCCAGTGAGGCTGGAAAGATAGGCATAGCCATGGGCTTTAAAAATCAAACTGACATGTCTTAACCTCAAAGCAATAGGGAGTCACTGAAGTTGCTTGAGTAGGGGAGTGAGTGACATGTTCAGATTGGTGCTTAAGAAAAATCACTTTCGTAACAGTGGGAAGAATGAACTGAGGTGTGGGGAGACCAGTCAGGTAGGCCATTGAATAATTTGAGTGAGATGTGATAAAGGCCTGAACTAAGGATCATTGATTTAAAACTGGAAAGGATGTCCAAGGCTATCTAGTCAACCTCACTCATTTTACAAATGAAGAAACTGAGACCCAGAGATTCAAAATAACTTTACCAAGGCCACACAAGTAATATGAGTCGGAATTTGAACCCAACCCCTCCGATACTAGAGTGATGTGGCTAATAAGTATCTGTGGCAGGATTTAAGCCCAGGCTTACTAACTCCAGATTGCTGTTTTATCTACCTTGCTAGGTAGCTTCTTTGGAAAATATTAATCTACTCTGAATTTTATTAATCTGCTCTGAAATTTTACACTCTGAAACATATTTCCTCTTTGACTCACATTATAATTCCAGATATTTGAACCAGGAGACATTCCAGAGCAGTTTGATATGGGAGTAAAAAATATGGATGTGACTCTTTTGGAGGAGAAAAAATAAGCCCTGTTTAACATGTGATCTTGTTAGTGAAGTTGAGACATCTACAAATTAGTGTGTATTTTGTCTTCAGTTGACACTGGTTTGTTGAGTTGGTTTCAATCGTTTCTGACTCTGCATGACCCCATTTGGGGTTTTCTTGTCAAAGATACTGGAGTGGTTTGCCATTTCCTTCTCCAGCTCATTTTACAGATGAGGAAACTGAGGTAAATAAGGTTAAATTACTTGCCCAGGGTCACATAGCTAGGAAGTGTCTGAGGCTGGATTTGAACTCACAAAGATGAGTCTTTCTGATTCCAAGCTTAGTGCTCTATCCACTATGTTACCTAACTGCCCATACTTAAGAGCTCAAAGTTTCTATGCTCACTAGCTTCTTTTTCCAGTATAAAAAAGATATATTCATTCAGACTTCACTGATTTTGAATTTGGGATAGCTTAGAGAATGGCATTATGATGAAAACAATTTAAATTTCTGCTCAAAATCCATATTTATATATTGTTCAAAATATTCTGTTCTTCTGGAAAAGAGAATAGTGATAAAGAAAACTACAAGCTGGTTTCACTAATTTCAATTTCAGTAAATGAATGTAATAAGCACAAAAATAATAAGCAAAATATTAACTGAGTTAACTAAAAATCATCATTCGCTGCATTCAGATTGTATTAATAACAGCGATGTAAGGAGATTTCAGCATTAGGAAAATGATTAACATCATGCCACTAAGAAAAATTGAAAAGTCATGTGATTACCTCATTAGACTATTGAGAAAACCTATTATCAATTTATTACAAAAATATTAAGAAAAGTACATGCAGAGGATTTTTATTTTCCAGTACGGTAAAAGGCATCAATCTGAAACTAAGTGCCTATATTATAGGCAGTGGAAAAGAATTAAAAGCCATCTCACTAAAGTGGTGCCGCTTTCACTACGTCTGTTTGATGTTACTTTATTGTTATTGTTGTCGTTCAGTCCTGTCTGACTCTTTGTGACCCCATTTAGGGTTTTCTTGGCAGAGAGGCTGGAGTGATTTGCCATTTCCTTCTCCAGATCATTTTACAGATAAGGAACTGAGGCAAACAGGGTTAAATGACTTGCTCAGGGTCATGCTGTTAGTGTGTGATTTGAACTCAGTAAGTTAAGTCTTGCTGATTCCAGGCCGAGCATTCTTTCCACTGTGCCACCTCTCTGCCTTTGATATTACTTTAGGAAAGTGTTATATTAGGAAATTGCAGTAAGCTATGACAAGGAATTAGAGGGATTAACACCGGAAATGAAGAGAGCACAGCATCATTATTTGTAGATGACTAGATTATATGTCTAGAAAACACAAGTGACTAAAAAATGTATTGAGAAAATAAAATTAACAATGTTGAAGGTTATAAGATAAGCTCATACAATCACTTATATCCTTGTGTTACCGATAAAAAGCAGAATATATATTTAAGGCATAAATCTTATTTACAACAACAACACAGTTAGGGAATTGATTGGCTTAATTACTCATGCAGCATTTACAAAAATAACTACGAAATATTATAGACAGAAATAAAAGAAGTGAATAATTAGAGAAACAGTCAATCTTCATCGATGGGTTGGATTAACAAAAAAAAGATAATTGTTAAATTAATTTATATATTTAACATATAGGTTTAATAGAATAGCAATAAACATACCAAAGGGCTTATTGTTATTTCATTTAGTATATAGAAGATTGAGTAGGGGAGTGACATATTCAGATCCATGCTTAAGAAAAATCACTTTCATAGCAGTGGGAGAAATGAACTGAAGTGTGGGGAGACCATTTGTCAGGTTCAATATTCTTATTCAATTACAAAAATGTCATTTTTTTCTACCTGCTCAGTAGTCTACAGAACATTAAATAGAATGGAACAGTAACAGGACATCAACTAATCCTCAGACAGTTTCTATAAAAACCTCTACAATAACAAAAAAGATGAGAACAAGATGATAATAATAACAACAATAAATAATAATAATAATAATAATAATAATAATAATAATAATGCCATTTATATAGTCCTTTAACATTTGAAAGGCACTTTATATCACATTTGATTACATAATCACATTTGACCTGTACTTGCAGAAAAACTGTAAGATTTATTGTCTTTTCAGGTTGGGAAACCTGGTTGGAGAAATTAAATCACATGCCCACGGTCAGAGAAGTGGTTAGCCTCAGAGGCATAATTTGCATCCAGATCCTCCTGATTCCATATCCACCACTTTCCACTGTAACATAGAGGTTTGGGGGGTGGAGGGGAAGTTCAGTCTCAAATATGCAAACTAAAACAACTCTTGAGATGTCAGCTACAAAATTGGTAAACATTAATAAAAATGAGGAAATTCAACTCACTGCTGATGACATTATAAATTGGTGAGAACTCTTCCTTAGGATCATTCTCTTAGGCTGTATTTCCCATGGTGGGATTATTGAGTCAGAAAGTACACTACAAGAGCAATGCAAATAACCATATCCTTTGACCCAGTAATCTCACAATGGGGAATGTGTCCTAAGAGAATTATCACTACTAAATAAGAAACATCTGTACAAGTTATTTATAGCTATATTATTTGTAAAAACCTGGAAACATCCAAATGTCTGACTGTAGGAAACTTACAGAAGAAAAATTGTGGCATATCTGTGTAATGGTATAGCAGAAGGAGATTTAAAGACAGATATTATGTATGTATATATATATATATTATGTATATATATATATATGTGTGTGTGTATATATATATATGTTATATAATTATTATTGTATTATGTTATAATATTATAAAATGGTATCTTACACATCTTATGATTCATGGATTTAGAAAGGAAGGGTCTTTAAAGGTCATCTAGTCCAAACCTTTCATTTTACATAGGAGAAAATTGAGACTCAGAAAGACATATAGCAAGGGGAACATCTTAGATTTGAACCCAGGACCTCTTGTACTTAAGGCTTTTTGAAGTGTTGTCCTTGTCCCTTTTAACCTTATTCCCTCTCGTGGCTTCAACTATAATGTAGGTGACTCCCAAATATTTATATCTAGCTCTGACTTCTGTTCTTCAGACTGAAGCAATAAATCAATGAGCATTTATTAAGAGCTTACTACGTGCCAGGCACTTTGCCAAATTTCCAGCTACCCAAAGAACACATTCATGTAGATATCCTACCATTGTTTCAAACTCAGAATGTTTAAAACTGAGACAACATGA